GAATATCCCAGGCTGAAGACTATGGTGTTTGTCATGCGATCATCCCGAGTCGTTCCCTTTACTAGCAGAAGTACCTGAAATCAAAACTGAAAACTGTAAGCACAAAGCTTAGTGAGCTCCCCCAAACTACCATAAACCATAAAATAACACATAATAGCACATACTGGGCCTTGCCCACTGTATCGGGTCGGGCCCGGCATCGGACCGAAATCCGGCATCGGGTCCCACCCAACATTGGATCCCGCATGGCATAGGATCGAAGTCTGCTATACATATACCATAACAACAACACATAGTGCATAAACATATAACATATAACATGCAAAGCTTCCTCGGGCTTGCCCCGACATCTGGACGAAGTCCGGAACATACAAACAAGTACATGAAAGAATCACAAAGACATCAAGCATACAACATTCCTCGGGCTTGCCCCGACATCGGACCGGAGTACGAAACATATAAACTGCATCGGGCTATCCCCGACATCGGACCTAAATCGGACATACCTTTAAATAATTAGATGTTTCTTCTGTAATGATAATGTCGTTTTGTGACTCCCAAACTATACAAGTTATAGTTTTATCATGTTTGTTTTCAAAAACATTTATATAATCATTTATATAAATACATAGTAATCATCTTGTTTAATTTCAAATGTAAGATTCAGCGTCATATTTTTGGGTTTTAACCTACAAAATAATGAAGTAACTTGAGTGTATTCCCTTTTGTTGGAAAAGCTATATTTTGGTAAAAAGCTTCCAAAAAACTTGTAGTTTTTCAAATCGTAATTTTCCTCATGATTTTTATAACATAGATCATGTTTTGTTTTTGTTAGTTTGGCATTTGAAAACTAATATATCACAAATACTTGTCCACAAGCTAGTAATAATCACAACTTATGCAAATAATGGCTTATACTTTAACATAAATATGAACAAGCAAGTATTTATATGATAAACCAATTTTAACTTGTATTCCCCCTGTAAAACATGAAAAACTCGAAAATTTGGGGTTATGAACTCACCTTGAGTGGATTTGTGGGTTGTTTATAAAGATGGTGTGAAGATTTCCAAGCCTAACCACTTGAATGGTTTGATGAACTTCCTTGGAAATGTTAGTATCCTAGAGGTTTTAACACATAACAATATGTGTGTAAATATAATGAAGTTAACATAAAAGTGTCTAAATAGACTAGATTTTGAAGGAATACTTACCAAAATCTAAGAAACACACTTGAAGAATGTTGAACTTGGAAGATTTTGGCTTTCTTTTTTAGTGAGTTTGGAATTAACTTGAAGTTGCAAAGGGAAGTGGTGGATGATTTAGGGGTGATTTCATTCAATATAAGGAGGATAAGTGATATGACTTTTCCTTAGTTACCTGTTGGATAATACGTTTATTTGTTGGAGTTTTGTTTGGGATACTACATTAAATATTAGCCTAAGTGATCTAAACAAAATTCATAGTAATCATAAAACCGAGAGCGTGCATATAGAGAACGTCCAAATCTGAATTCGCATAAGGAAGCTATGATTATTTTAGAAGTTTTAACGAAGCAGTGTACGATACATAAACCAAAATTAAGATATGTCGATTGTTTTAGGACAATCATATAATGATTGTGAGTCTTTAAGACCACCGCATAGTTGATTGTGAGTCTTCAAGCTTAGGTGGATGATGAAAAGAGTGATTTGGCATCAAATCCTAGAATTTGGATAGTATCACGACGTGTCGTGAACGAATTACTTGACTAATAATTGTCCCTCGATATAGATAATATAGTTAGAGCCTTGTGAGATGGCTATTAGGTGATCTAGTGTTTATTATAATCTGGTAGGTTAGTTTGTAGGCATTATCCACAGGCACGATAGGAGTAGGATTTTGGGGACGAAATCTTTATAAGTGGGGGAGAGTTGTAACACTCCATTTTCACATTCCAATAAAATTCAATATAAACCATCGTTTATAAAATTCAAACTAGAGATATATTAATTTTTAGCCAAGATAATCGACATAATCATATAGGAAACATCAATAAGATTCTCGTAGATATATAGATCACCCGAATCCGACTTCGAATGAAGAAATAATGCTTCTTCGAAGTTTCACAATTAAATCGACACAACTATCTGCATCGTAAAATATGAATTAAAGATACATTACTTTTTAGCATAAGTGATCAAAGCAAAAGTTGTAGTGATTGTAAAACCAAGAGCGTGCATGTAGAGAACTTCCAAATCTGACTCCGCATGAAGAAGTTATGACTTTTCAGAAGTTTCAGCATAGCTGTGTGCGACAGAAACCGAAATTACGATCGGTCGATTGTTAGGAAAAACAATCTAAATGAGAGTTGAAGATCTCATACATATGATTATGTTGATATATAGACAGCCAAGAATGAAATTCACATGAGAGAATTATGATTTTTATACAGGTTTTAACAGTCTAAGCCTGTTAAAAATATAGCTTTAAAAATAAATCAGAAATAACCGACAAAGTCTAAACGAAAGTTATAGCTCTCGTTGATAGCTAAGCGTGGATATAAAATCCGTCAAAAATGAAGCTCTTACACAGAAGTTATGTAAGTTTTTAGAAATTAGAAATCCTCGCTCTCAACCACGTGCACAGACCACTTGCACGGCGCGCCTGACAACCCACCCAAAATGCGGCACGTGGTACAATGCATAGAACGACACGCCATCACCTTCTGACCAAATGTGCGGCGTGTACCTAATCTGTGCGCGGCGCCACCCCAATTCAACTTATAAATACCTTCGATTTTCAGCTTATTCTCTCATCCATTCACTGCATAATCCTCTAGAATTCTTTCTACCCCTAGTCTCAATACTTTCTAGTTTCCAATTACTTTAGCGAAGCCTTGCGGTGTTAGATAGTCGGTGAATAGAAGCTCTTGATCAGAGTTATGACCACGACTTTTTGGGCTTTCGTCAGAAACTCTTTATAAGTTAGGCTACACTTACTCTACTTTAAGTGTAACTTATGTCATCATTCATAGTCGTTGTTATGATGTTTAAATAAGATTTATCAGTAATTCTGGTTATAATATTGATTGATCTACTTACGGGAAAGGTTTCTAGAATGGTCACATTGGTTTGGTTGTTGGATTTTAAAAAGAATATATGCCAAAATGGTCATGCCTCCCAACTGTTTGGCCTGACTAATCCTTATTTGATAAAGCTATCAGTATTCACTGGGATTAGCGATATGTCTAACCTACATTGCCAAATTTCCCTAATATCTAATTAGCGGTAATATTATAGATTAATCCGTCGGGTATGTTACCGTCAGTTGAATCGTCAGTAGATTACGGTTAGTTGCCAAAGAAAATGTCTAGGTGAGTTCATCTCACTATATTATGTATTCCAATATATATCTATGTATGTTAGGATATACGAGCCAATAAAGTAGAGCCCATAGTATGAATTTATATGTACCTGTAGAGTCGGATGTGTAGTATATATGTGTGTGATTGTTGGTATGCTTAAAAGTTATTCCAAATTAGTTAGGGGATGATGGCGAAACGACAAAGAGGTCGGGAGCCTATAGACACATTTATAAACGAAATGGTATGTAGGTCGTAAGTACACGTAGACTCGTGTTGAAGACGAAATGACATGTGGGTCATAAGTCTAATATATATATATATATATATATATATATATATATATATATATATATATATATATATATATATATATATATATATAGATTGTGATATATGGTATATTAGGTGGAACTCACTAAGCCTAGTGGTTACCTAGTTGTTTATATATGTTTTTACTCATGTGAATTATAAGATTTGATTTTATACATGCGCATTCATAACATATTTCCGTATAATGTAATGATATTCTAATATATTTAAATAAATAAAAAAATTGATTGAAAAGCAAACGTTACATATAGATTCAAACCGGATAAACTAGAATTGAATCTTTTTATTTCTACTGTGACATTTAATATATGTTTGTTTGATTAGGTTTATATGACACTGACGTCATGTCAACTATAGCATAGTATATATAATTATAAATTTGTAATGTCAACTATAGCATCGTATATATAATTATAAATTTGTAACGACTATAATGGTATATAATTATAAATTTGTAACGACTATAATGGTATAATGGTATAATAAGAACAAAGGATAAATTAAATCATTTATCAAATACACTTAAGTAATAAATTACGTAAAATGAATTTTGTATTATTGATTTTTTGTACATTAGTTTTTTTTATATATTTAAAATTCGATACATCTTTATATTGTGAATATTCGTATCCTTTTATTAAATGTTCATATTTATTATCTTATTCATTTGATTATGTCAATTATAAAATCAAAGATGAGATGAAGAAGTATAAAAGTATAAATAGATGAAATAGAAGTATAAAGTAAGAGAAAATTTTATTTTCTTTAAAGATATTAGAGAAAAAGAAAGCTAGTGATCCATATAACAATAAATTACTTAAAAATGAATTTTGTATTATTGACTTTTGCACATTAATTTTTTTTATATATTTAAAATTACATACATCTTTATGTGTGAGAATATTCATATCTAAATGTTGATATTTATCTTATTCGTTTGATTATGCCAATTGTGAAATCAAAGATGCGATGAAAGAAGAAAAAAAATGATACATTACATATATAAATTAATAAATAAAAGGGAAAATGACATTTGAGGGTAATAAAGTGTTCTATAAGTACTCATTTGATCCTTTATTTTTTTTTCTTTATTATACCACTGAACTTACTAATCTTGCTCACCAAAACCCTCGATACCGGTTATCACCTGTTATGCCGGTTATCTCATTTAAGTAGAGATGACATGTCGTATTACGTGGACCTAGACCACGTTGCAAACCCATTACTCTTTCACCCCCAATTCTCCTTACAGTTAGGGTTTAATCGAAGAATACAGTTACGAAATTGAAGAGAAGTGGTGAATGCGAGTGTTACGGTGAAGAAGATGGCCTCCGATTCCAAACTCCGTAAGTATTTGACAGTTTATGTACATTATAATGGTTTATTTGCACCAAAACCATTAGTGTACTTGAACTCTGTTGTTGTTTCAATCGCTGATGTTGATTTTGGTGGAATGGATCTCAAAGATTTTAAGTTGTTCATTGAAAAGTTGATTGAAAGCAGTTGCGATAATGTATATTATTGGACTAGAAATGAACCATTGGCAGAGGGTATTAGGAGAATTGGGAATGATGCTGACTACTATGAGTTTATTGAAACGGGTTATAGTGATGAAGTTGGTCTAACAATGAATTTGTATATAGACCACGAAAATGAACCTGTACTTGATTGGGCTGATATGGAAGTAGTAGAAGATGATGAAGGGCATTATTCTGAGCCAGACGTGGATGATGATAAAGAGTCACAACTTTCTGATGATATTCCATATGAGCATGAAGCATATGGTTACATTCCTTCTCTTGACAAAACTGTTGGTGATGAATTCTTACACCGGGTGTCAGGTATTTCTAAGGATAAAAATGATGAGCTTGAAACTGATGATGTTGAAACCAACAATGTGGATGACAAACCAGTGTACCCTGTCCATAATGAGAACCAGAAATGGGACAAAATGATGCCAATTCTAGCTATGAGATTCTCTAACCCTATGGAATTGAAAATTTGTTTGACTAACTATGCAGTGAAGAATGGGTACAATCTTTATTATGAGAAAAATGATAGTCACAGGTTATTAGTGAGATGTTGTAAAGATAGCAAGAACCCCTCTTGTCCTTTTAGACTGTGGGCTTCCTGGATGAGTAGTGAAAGGTCTTTCCAGATTAAGTCCTTAGTTGATGACCATAACTGTTCAAGAGTCTTCAAACTTGGTTCCATTGTAACATATAAATGGATTGGAAAACATTTTAAGAATCAACTTTTGAAGAACCCCAAAATGAGCATAAGGAAAATGAAAGCCAAAGTGAGTACAAAGTTTAACTTGATTGTTAGTGTGACTCAATGTAGAAATGCTAGGAGATATGCTTTGGATGAGATAGAGGGTAGCTTGATAGAACATTATGGTAAAGTATGGAGTTATGGTGAAGAAATAATGAGGACAAATCCTGGTTCAACAGTAAAGATAGATGTGGATGTCATGCCTGATTCCACCACTTACTTTTCTAAAATGTATGTTTGTTTTAAGGGTGTGAAGGATGGTTGGATTGCAGCATGTAGGAGGGTAATAGGGGTAGATGGTTGTTTTTTAAAGGGTATATGTAGAGGCCAACTGTTAACAGCTATGGGTAGGGATGCAAACAACTACATCTTCCCTATTGCATGGGTTGTGGTGGCAGTAGAAAATAAGGAAACATGGAAGTGGTTTCTTGAACTCCTACTAGATGATATTGAAATGTGAATTGGTCATGGATTGACCCTCATATCATACCAACACAAGGTATATTTTCTTTTATGTTTTGTTTGAGTTCAATGTTTTTTGTTATGTTATCCATTTGTTGTTTCTTTTAGGGATTGGTAAAGGCTGTCAAAGAAAGAGTTCCAGCAGCAGAGCATAGACAATGTGCTAGGAACATCTATGCTAACTTCAAGAAAAGATTCAAAGGTGAACAATATAGGAAGTTGTTTTGGGCAGCTGCTGCAAGTACTACTCAACCTAAATTTGAGGCAGAAATGAATTACATAAAAACAATTGACCCTTTAGCTTATGAACACCTCATGGAAAGGGACCCTAAAAGTTGGTGCAGGGCATTCTTTGAAGTGGACAGGGCTTGTGATGCTTATGAGAATGACATATCAGAAAGTTTCAACTCTGTTGTTGATCTTGCTAGGAAGAGACCACTCCTCACCATGTTGGAAGAGATTCGGATTTATGCAATGGAGAGGATGTATAGAATGCTGCTAGAGGGACAAAGTTGGGGTAATTTAAAAATATGCCCATCTATAAGATTAAAGATATCAAAGTTAAAGAAACAGCAAAGGTATGATATAACTTGTATTTTATATGTATTAATATGTCATCTAGTAGATTAATAGAATATGTTATTTTTGTGGATAGATTTTGGGGAGTTATAATTTCTGGGGTACAAAAATATGAGGTTAGGATTGGAAATGATGGATATGCTGTGGACCTTAACAACAACACATGTGGATGTAGATCTTGGCAAGTATCAGGTATCCCATGTGTGCATGCAGTGGCAACCATTTCATACCTCAACAGGAATGCAGAGGATTATGTTGCACCATGGTTCCATACAACCATGTTCTTGACTTGTTACAACCATACCATTAACCCACTTAATGGTAGTTCCATGTTGCCTGAAGCTCCCTACATGAAGCCATTGCCTCCTCAAAAAAGAAGGTTACGAGGAAGGCCAACCCTTAAAAGGAAAAAGGATCAATCTGAGATGGAAAGCAAAGGGAAAAGAAGGCATATTATCTCAAAAGCATGTTCAGTTAATAGATGCACTATTTGTAGAGAAAGGGGCCATAATAGATCAACATGTCCTACTAGACCAGCAGATGTAGCATCCACTTCAAGGCCAAAAAACAAGAAACCTAAAAAATGTAAAAAAGAGAAAGGTATGATATTAAAACAATATAATTTAAATGGAACATCCAACTCATTAACTACATATTTGTATAGCAGGTAAAGTGGAACCAGTTCAAGCAGATCCAGTGGATCCAGTTCAAGTACCACATGTTGAACCAATTGATGATCCAGCTCCACATGTTGAACCAGTTCAAGTAGATGATCCACATCCAAATGTTGATGTCCCTGCTCAACCAGTTGCAACTAGGAAGAGGATACGAAAATACTCAGAAAGAACTACCAAGATAGGGTTGAGGAGGAAGGTTTTGAAGAAAGAAGGAAGCACTGGACACAACCCAATGGTGTTGGAATGATTTTATGTTTTTTTTTTTTTTTTGGATAGACAAACTTTTAGTCTTGTAATTATGTAATTGGGATAACTTTAAGAATCATGGCACATGGCACATCTTTTGACATATTAGGACAACTGTGGGCACAGCTTTTGTAATAGTGCACATGCTGATGGAATATTACAACTTTGTCTTTTATCTATATGCTTTGGTGTACGGTTATTTGCATATAGATTGTTTAATATTATATTATCTATCATAAATCAAGTAGATTTAGTATTAATACATTAAGCAATGTTTGATGTTGTTGTTGTTAATCTGGACCATTTTACCCTTGGATCACATCAACACATTAACAATTGATTACTGCCAAATTTAATCTGGACCATTTTACCCTTGGATCACATCAAGACATTAACAATTGATTACTGCTAAATTTAATCTGGACCATTTTACCCTTGGATCACATCAAGCCATTAACAATTAATTAATGCCAATATTTAGTCTTAATACATTAAGAAATGTTTGATGTATCCAATGTGGTTAATATGGACCATTTTACCCTTGGATCACATCAAGACATTAACAATTAATTAATGCCAATATTTAGTCTTAATACATTAAGAAATGTTTGATGTATCCAATGTGGTTAATCTGGACCATTTTACCCTTGGATCACATCAAGACATTAACAATTGATTAATGCCAATATTTAGTCTTAATACATTAAGAAATGTTTGATGTATCCAATGTGGTTAATCTGGACTATTTTACCCTTGGATCACATCAAGACATTAACAATTAATTACTGCCAACTTTAATATGGACCATTTTACCCATGCATCATGTCCAATTCACTAACTTGTTAAACACATTAATACTTCTTGGAAAGCACTCAAAACATCAAACTATCATTAATCAAAAAGATTTAGTCTTAATACATCAAACAAATTACAACATTAAGGATTACATTTAGTCTTTGAATACAGCTAAACTGACTACTTTTTAAACACAAACAACAGAAACAACACAATCATCATAACTTTATGAGTAAATAACTTCCATTTGAGTTTTTCAAACTCTTGTCTAACAACCAAGTTTTCTTGTTCCATCTTCATCTTACAAATGCTGATCTCATTTTCCAATATAGAAACTTTAAGGGTTAAATTGCACAGTTCTTTTTTGTCCTTCCCAAAATTGACTTCATTTTCAGGGCTTTTAGGCTCCAACCATTCCCATAACTTGCATTTTGGTCCTTCATTCTTGAAAAAAGTAACAAATTGGTTAAAGAAAGATGATTAAACGAAAACTAAAAAACATTTGGTTCGTGAAGAAGATTAAACGAAAAGTACAAAACATTTGTTTTACCATGGAGTTAGGGCACAATCTGAATTTTTTTCCTGGATTGTCTTTAGTTCGTGAAGTTCGTACACGAGATGGTAACCCACAATAACAAGGATTTTCAGGTTGAAATTCAGCATTTCGTTTGGAAGAAATAGAAGAAGAAGAAGAAGAAGAAGCATCCATGTCGATCTAGGGCAAGAACGATGCAATACTACAACTTTGCAATTAATAAGCCCAGTTTATCGCACATAATGCCACGTAATATCCACATAACTAGTAACCTACAACAACCGGTATCAAGGGTTTTGGTGAACAGGATTAGCAAGTTCAGTGGTATAATAAAGACAAAAAAAAGATAAGGGACCAAATGAATACTTATAGAACACTTTATTACCCTCAAAGATCATTTTCCCTAAATAAAATACGATAATAAGAGTATAGGATAATAAAGTAAGAGAAATTTTATTTTCTTTAAAGACATTAGAGAAAAAGGAAAGCTAGTCTATGCATATGGCAATAAATTACTTAAAATTGAATTTTGTATCATTGATTTTTGCACATTAATTTTTTTATATTTAAAATTACGTATATCTTTTTATGTTTGTGTTTATGGAAATTCATATCTTTCTGCTAAATGTTAATATTTATTTTTTATTCATTTAATTATGCCAAATGTGAAATCATAGACGAGTTAAAAAATAATGAGATGAAAAAAAATATATACAACTTACATGTAAATTAATAAATAAAATAAAGACTATAATGTCCTGTTTTCAAATTTATTAAGAAGGAAAATAAGGGGAAAAAAATCTTTTCTTCCTCTTCTTTTCCTTGTATTTTTTTTTCTCTCTCAATCATCCCAAAAATCTAAGGAAAAAAAAATATTAGAGTATTGGGTATGGGCAACACCGATACCTACCCATAACAATACGACGTCACCATCTTCTCCCCACAACGAGATCAATGGATGGTGTTCAAGATACATAACAACGTTGAGAAAGGAAGATGCGAGAAGAAATGGGGTGTTGTCATCCGTCGTCTTTACAACGAGACTTACCTTAACAGGAGTCGAGGGTGGTGTTTCCGGTGTTATGCCGACGTTTCGGGTGTGCCACATCAGCCTTAACGCGGTTGTAGTGATCCATACCGTATGGTCTTAGAAATAAATCATTTCTTCCCCTCTCAATCCCTTCTTTACCTTCTTTTTCTCTTCTGGAATGAAATTCGAAAACATCTCTCGTTTCACTTTCTTCCCTTTCTTTCCTTAAAAAAAATCGAGAATTCGTATTTCCTTCCGTTTCGTCTCTTTTCTTCCCTTTTCCTTCTTAAAAATAAAAAAATAAAAATAAAGTAAAGTAAATAAACAACAACTTAAAAATAAGGTGTGAGAGTATAAAAAGAGATTTTTTTTTTTTAAGATATTGGAGAAAAAGGAAAGTGAGCCGATCCACATGTCACCGCCGTACATGGTCGTTGCAGACTGAAAATAGAAGTTCAAAAGGTTTGATTAGTCAACAACGTTTGTCTGCACTCTGCAATTAGATGTAAACAATCTCCTCCATAAAGGCATCAACCGCGGTCACCTTTATTTCTAATGGCACCACCATTCTTACTCTGCTTCTTCTTCACCTTCTTCCTCCTCGCATCTCGATCAATCGAATCCCGAAAACATGCCACTGCTGCGCTCTTCGTCTTCGGAGACTCTTTCTTCGATCCTGGAAACAACAACTACATTAACACCACCACTCTCGACCAGTCTAATTTCCCTCCATACGGAGAAACATTCTTCCGCTTTCCCACCGGCCGCTTCTCCGACGGCCGTATCATTCCTGATTTCATCTGTAAGCCTTTTTTTGTTTTCCATCTGCGCTTTCATATCTAACTTCCCAGATTCCGTTTCTTAATCATAACTACTATTTTCCATAATCATGAAAAAGTGAAGTACGCCAAGTTGCCCTTGATTCCGCCGTATATGGAGCCTGACAGCCGGAGGTATTACAAGATCGGAGCCAACTTTGCATCCGCAGGAGCAGGTGCTCTTGTTGAAACGTTTCAGGGATCGGTACGTAATTATTTTGGTGCAGAAACAACAAGTAATTAATATCATATTCAACAAACATAACTTTAAAGCATATTCAAACAAAGCTTTAGTTATTATAGTTTATTACCCCTTTTTCTCCAAGCATATTCAAACAAAGCTTTAGTTATTGTAAGATTTCTGGAGCAGATTTTATGCAGTTATCTTCGCTATTATCGCAAATTATATATTATTTTAAGTTCTTGAGATTAGAAAGAGGATAAATTTTTAGATTTTTTTTATGGTTCCATGATGGAAAAAGGAAAGTAGTTTGAAGATTTGCCTTTTTAACTGGTAAGTGAACATTTTAGACCACTCATTGTGTTGGGTGTAATACCAACCAAATCACTTTCTGAAGTTGACCCCCTACCTTTGCCAAATTTAACAACATAAACTACATTTAATTAATTTCAGAAATTGAATCTACAAAATCACATGGTCAGAGTGCAGTTCACATGGAAGATAGAATAGTCAACCAAGTTCGATTGTGGAAACCCACATCTATTAAAGATTTAAATCCAGCTTTTTTAAATTAATGGAAACAATAGTAAATAGGGTATATGGATACCCGTATCTTTAGGAAATCCACTTTGTTAACTGTAAACAGATTCCTGTGTGCTAATAATCTTTTTCTAATAGTTAATGCTTATCAGAAAAAAAAAAAAAAGATTTTGATTTAGAAACAAAGGGGTGAACAAAAAGTATCAAGAAACTTTTTTTTTTTTTTTAAGTGGAAGAATGCATGTGGTGTGGGTAGGAAAGTTGCAGGGACAAAACTGATAGGTCCAACATATGTTTCAGGCTAAACTCCAATATTTTAAAAACACAAGTAGCTAGATGTGGGTAATGGTCCTATTTTTCAACTCTTAGTGCTATAGTACTACTACTAGATGATGGATACATGTGATTTTGTAAATATAGAATCAAAGCATTATGTCATTCATTGTGTCACTTTCATCAAAGTCTTTAAAAAATATTTAAAAAGATATGATTTTTAATTGTTGACAGGTAATCGGTCTTCAAACCCAGTTAAGCAATCACAAGAAGGTGGTGAATCGATTGAGAAAAATTTATGGGAACATTGAGGCTAGTGACACATTGTCTAAAGCTGTCTATTTGTTTAGCATTGGAACAAACGATTATGCAAGCCCATACTTGATTACCAACTCCACTAATTTCACCTCCTCATACTCCAACTCCCTCCTTGTAAAAATTGTTCTTGGTAATTTAACAACCGCTATAAAAGTAAGCATGCATATGTATATCAACTCTTTAATGCACAATAATGGAGTATTTGCAAGATTTGACATTAAGTGCTTACAATTTGGACAGGAGTTACACAAAAGAGGAGGCAGAAAATTTGGGTTTCTGAATTTGGGTCCATTGGGTTGTATTCCAGGGATGAGGATACTTCTTAATCCATTAAGTGAATCCGTTGGGTGTGTAAAGGAGGCTTCATTGCTAGCAAAACTACATAACCAAGAGCTTGCAAAGTTGCTAAAAAGATTAACAAAGCAACTGCATGGATTCAAATATTCGCTATACGACTTCAGTAGCAATATCAAGCATAGAATAAAACATCCATCCATATACGGTATAGATGTGCAACATTGTGTGTTAATGATTATTTGAACTAAAGTGACATGTGATTGACGAAATGATGTTTTATGTTTAGGTTACAAGGAAGGGAAAGTGGCATGTTGTGGGACAGGGCGGTTTAGAGGAACGTTTAGCTGTGGAGGGAGGAGGCCGGTGAAAGAATTTGAAGTGTGCGAGAATCCTAAAGAGTATGTGTTTTGGGACTCTTATCATTTCACTGAAAGAGTTTATGAAGAAATGGCCCATGAAATGTGGAACAAAGAAGCAAGTAGAGGAACTTACAATCTCAAAGCTCTCTTCCAATGACCATGATAATTTCCCATCTTTCTAGGTTAAGCTTCTAATATATATAGAAATTTTAATTCTATCAACTTCATTTTAGATCACATCCTTGACCTTATTTTGTAAAGAAAAGGGCATGTTATATAGATTGAAATTATAAGTTTTATGCATGTGCTTGTCAAAATTTGTGGCTACACACTCGGGGGCGGACGCATGATTCATACTAGGTGTTGCCGAGTTGAAGTAGGTATTGCCAGTGCAGGAAAAATAGGTTAAAAAAATCAAAAAATAGAAAATTTTTCCAATGCGTAAAGGGAAAATAGGTGTTGTCGGTGCAACACAGGGTACCACTATAGATGCGCCCCTGTACACACTGCTATAGTTTGTAGCTTTAACCCTAAAACATAGTTTGGTTCTTTGAGTCCATGAATAGACGTTAAAAGTACGTAAAATACATTGAAAATGATGATTTCATTTTGATTTGGCGAAATTGGTGCAGGAGGAATAGTCGTCCTCACTAGGAGAATTATGAGAGAGCAAAGTTAGATTGTCTTTTTAGAATTTCATTCAACCAAAGCAATTTGTTTTTCGATTTGGGTTTAAGGGACATTGTAATGACTTCGGTACTCTATTTTGGGAATTCTTGTGCAATTTTAAAGGAATGCTTTAGAATTTAGCGGGTTTACACCAAAGCTAATATAGATTTCTCATTTCTAGATACTCGTTTTAAATAAATATACCTTTCTCTTGTTGGGTGGATATAAAAAATTGTATTGTTAGATTGTTTGGTATATCTGCAACGCCACTGGCGCAGTGACTAGGTGGCCACATCTCCACGTTTTGCATACCATCTCAACATGGAGACACCATGGCATGGCCATGTGTGGTCTGTGCAATGTGAAGCAATTCAAGGGAAACATACGAGACCATTTATTAAATAATTGAAGAGAAATTAAATATTCTCCTATATTTCTTTTTACATATCCTCTTATCCATCTTAAAAGGGGATATGTGTCACAAAAGTATATTATAATATTATTAATATGTCATAATTTAAGATATATAGGAAGATATGTAGGAAGAAAATGTAAGAGGATATTTAATTTCTCATAATTGAAAAGTGAAAATAATTTGGTGATGTGAAGTGGTGAGTATCCATAATGATGTGTTGTGTGAATATGGTGATGATGTGACGTTGAGATTGCATCCATTATGGTATGATAGTGTGGAACTTATACTTGATGGCCTTAATGAAGTCATGTTATTTTTTGGGAGGTTGATTTCAATTGGTGAATCTCTTTATTTGATTAGTATTTGTTTTTACTATGGTTTATATAATGATATGAAATTGTAACTCAAATGATATATGTATGTATTAAAATAATTGCTTTTATTGGACTATACTTTTGGTAAAGCATGATGTGAAGTTGTGTAAATATGTAACATCCCGATATCCGAGGTATAACATTTTTTATATAGGCATGAGTTTGATTGGGTGACTCGACGAGTTGGATCCTTAACTCGTCGAGTTGGGTCGCGACCTGGGGACGCGTCAAATGGATGGACTTGACGAGTTGGGTATCTGAATCGTCGAGTCAGTGCTGTGGACGGAAACCCTAATTCATTGGGCTTGAGACCTATATAAAGGACCTTATGGCCTCCCAATTGTAGCCATATCTTCCAGAGAACAACACTAAAGAGCCCTTGATAATGTAGAGTGAGAGGGAGAACTGTCTTGAGCTTATAAGTGTGATTATGCAAAAGAGGAGGAGGTTACAATCGAGAATGCCAAAGATAATTGCTACATCTGAAGATTTCATTCAAATGGGCTTCAGTTAGAGGTATTATCTTCGACCCCTTTCCTTCCCTAATTGTGTAGATCTATTATTTTGGAAATTTGGGCTTATATTATCCTCATGATGGGGTTTTGAATACATCAAACCCCTTTCCAAGCTTGAGTGGTATATATGGACCTTGTAAGGTCCAGAGAGTCCGAAAGTATGAGATTATAGATGAGAAAACATGGAGTTTGGAAGCTATGAAGCTTTAATGGAGTCATAATGGTATAATGAGCAAAATATACCATCCATGGACATCAAGGTTGAGCCTTTGCGTGATTTTTGGGTTCTAAGAGGCGAGATCTATAGATTGGTGAAGCAGATCTGACCTCAGGAGGTCGATTGAGCATGTGCATGGAGGGAACTCGCCGAGTGCCTTGGTGAACTCAACGAGTCGGATCGGGTTTCCCCGTGACTCGGACCATTGGTGACCCGACGAGTTGGGTGGGTGGCTCAGTGAGTCGAGTGAGACCTTAAGAGGAATATGAGTACGCGTATGGACTCGCCGAGTCGTCGCATGAACTCACGAGTCTGGTCAGAGTGCATTGTTGACTTCAATTGACTTTTGGGTTTAGTCAACCAGTGGACCTTTGGAGCAATAGAGGGGTAGAATGGTCTTTTACCCCTAGAGATTATAGTAAGAGACTTATGTAGCCTTTGTGAGCCATTATTGAATTAAAGTAATTTATTTATGTGATTAGGCGGAGGCTAGATCAGTATTTCGAGTTCAAGACTGTTTGAGATATCCCGAGGTGAGTCTTCTCACTATACTTTACCTAGAGTGGTAATTAGAGTTATGTGACAGAGTATTTTGTATGCTATTTATATGATGTGATACACTGCATTATTTTTATGTGATTTATGTTATGTATGTTTCAGAGTTTACAGAGTTAGGATCGGAAGGTCCACAAAGTTAGGACTAGAGGGTCCATAGAGTTATGGGACTGGAGGGTCCCACTGATACACATTAACCAGAGGGTCAAACAGAGTTATAGCCTCGAGTGGCTAATATGTGTTGTATGTGGTATTTTGGGGAACTCACTAAGCTTCGTGCTTACCGTGTTATGTGTTATGTGTTTCAGTTTTTTCTCAGGATCACGAGAAGGCACCGACTTGATTGTACACACCAGTGAAAGAGTTATGTCTCGAGGATCCTGGATTTGTAATCAAACAAACAAGGAGTTTGTAACATCCAAAATTCCAACCCAATTTAAACTTTTTAAAACATGTCAAGTACATCAAAACATTACAACTTTGTTTTGAAAATATTGATTATCAGAGTTTTTCCCAAAAACATAAACACAATAGGAGGAGTTGTACGATCACGCCTTGGCCTTGCTTCGATCCCCTGATGTACCTGAAACAATAAACTGAAACTGTAAGCCCGAAAGCTTAGTGAGTTACCCCCAAAATACTGATACACATACAGTCAACATAACCATGTCACAATAACATATCATCACAACTGAACAGAACAGTACATAATGGGTCCACAGCCCTACAAACTGTACTACCCACGAGCCCACAGTACGAGTCTCCCTGAGCTCGTAACTGGAATGCTCCTAGGGTTTGTTGGCTACCGCACAAAGAAGTACAACCTTAACCCATCCCATATAACCAACACATATATCATAAGAATCGAGCATGCAATAATTACATAACAACACAGGTAGTCCTACAGACCTACCTAATAGGCATAACCACTAGCATGCGATACTAAATCATACTCAACATCTATCACAGTTCAAGGTAACACATTAAATGGGACGGCCTTGGTGCCTTAGACCCCTTAGTATAGTGTGGATAACTCACCTCGCAACTGACGTCAAAAACTAATAAGCTTCAACTCCCGGATCACCAACACGAACTTCACTACCTATAAATACCATAAAACCCTTTCTTCATAAGTTCCCAAATTATCATAATACCCTCAGAAGTCAACTGGTCAACTCTTGGTCAAGGTCAACGCCCACAGTCAAAGTCAACTGTCCATGTTGACTTGACTCGTCGAGTGTAGTTTACCGACTCGTCGAGTCCTTCCTGAACTCGAGGAGTTGTGAAATCCTTGATTGGCTCGTCGAGTTTTCCTTTAACTCGTCGAGCTTGTACATGCCCAAGAATCGGGGGAACTCTAGTTGACTCGCCGATTCTTCTAACGACTCGACGAGTTCAAGGCAAACTTCAACGGACTCGTCGAGTTGTTCATCCAACTCGTCGAGTTCGCGACCAAATTCATTCGGCTCGTCGAGTTGCTCATCCAACTCATCGAGTCCTCGCAGACCTCCATCCAAGCAGACGCTTTTTAAGCCATAGCAAGGCTCCAGATTACAGATCCAAGCTTCTAAGGCATGTTTATCACGTAAATTTGCAAACTTTACGCACATGCAAGGTTCTAAAGGCTCTAAATGATCAATCTATGCTTCCAATGAAGCTTTACACTTTAGGGGAGTCTCATTCTTGCACAAGCTGGAAACTTTATGTACTAAGAGGCCCAAAGGAGTTCAGTTCTGAAGTTACAACTTCATATCTAAAGTTGCAAGCAAGATTAGCTTCCAATCATCCTATAAAAACCCTAGAACTTGACCAAAGAGGGAATCTAGAATGAATGAGGTTAGGGTAACGATTTATACCTTCCAGAAGATGATAACTACAACAGATCTCAGGTCCTTCAAGCTCCTTGCTTCTGAATGCTTGATCCTCCAAGCTCCTTTCTCCAAGAAAATCCTCCTCCAAGCTAAAGAATGCACAAAATGAGCTCACACACGACTAGGGTTTTAGAAGGGCAAGAAGCAGTGAAGGGGAGGCGGGGGGGATGGCCAATGATCCTTTAAATAGGGTGAAATACCCCGAAGTCTAGGGTTTCATCTACCAGCTCCTACTCGTCGAGTCCTTTTATGGACTCGGCAAGTAGGTCATTAAATGCGCGGTCCCACCTCGTTGCTACTCGACGATTAGGGCACCCTTAGCTCGTCGAGTAGGACATAAAACCAAAGAAATTCTTACTTAAATCAATACCTGAGAATCGGGGCGTTACAGAGTTGCATTTGTAAATTAAATAAATAAGATTTTTTATAAATGTGTTATGAGAATTATATGATCTTAAAGGAAAATTTTGTTTTTAAAATTTTACGTTGTTACAAAATATTTTGAAAAACCTAATTAATCATTTTTCTAGAAAAAAATGGCTAGCTACAAATACAATAACTTAAATTTAGAGTTTTTATGAACAAAAATTCATGTTGTCGGCCTCTTTTCATCACTTTTTTGGAACTCTAATTAAAACATAATATGTCATTAGCATGGCCTCTCCCCAGAACCCTCACTCAATCCCGAGTAAGAAAATATTAAGTTAGCCATTTCTTTCAAAATTTGATTTTTTTTTTATTTCACATCATTTTGTTATAGTATATAAGGTGATAACATAGCCATATTATTATAATAGAGAGAAATTACAAGGTTCTTAATGAAAAGCAAAAAGGCTACAAAGAATAAAGTGGAGAATAAATACTAGCAAGAAAAAACCCTAAAGGGCTAAAGACTAAAGGGCTCATAAACATGTGGGCTAATAATATATAGGCTAACATCCTCCCTCAAAATCACAATGCCACAGCAATAAGCATTGAGAGTTTGTAGCACAAGAACCGAAACCGAGAAGCCAATAGAGCCTTCGTAAAAATATCCACAAGCTGCAAGGTTGATGAAACAAACGGAAGCAATATGGTTCCGAGCTGTAAGTGATGATAGGTAAAGTAACAATCAATCTCAATGTGCTTTGTCCGCTCATGGAAAAAGAATTTTTCTCAATTTGTATCGCACTTTTTGTTATCACAATACAAGGGAGTAAGTGAAGAAATGTGAACTCCCATAACCGAAAGCAAC